CCCCTCTCTCTCTCTCTCTCTCTCTCTCTCTCTCTCTGCCACTCTCTTCTCCATGTCTCCCTGTTTGTCTGTCAGTCTCAATTTCACAAACATTCACTCACAAGCAGACACAGACAAGCATACATGCACACACTCACATACACACAAAAGCACACACTTACACAGACGCAAACATACAAAAGTACTCACACTAAACCGCACCCACAAACATAAGCATACACACACACATACACACACACACACACACACATACACACGCATACACACACAAAAACACGTATACACCCCATAGAGACACACAAAAGCACACAACTCACACTCATGCAGACAATGCACGTGCCTGATATTTTTATCATCACAACGCGTAGCTTAGCTCAGCTCAGAACTTCAATATCACACACAACAGCTCAATACAGAAAAGAGAGAGAGAGAGAGAGAGAGAGAGAGAGAGAGAGAGAGAGAGAGAGAGAGAGAGAGAGAGAGAGAGAGAGAGAGAATTACCGTAAACACGCCTCTCTCACGTCATGTGGCTCGTTAGCTTCTAGACAGCTTTCTCTCAGACTGAAGTGTTATGCCTTCAACTTTATGCCATGTTGAATTTCGAATGCCTCACTTGAGATCGAGAGTAAAAAAGATACACTTTTATCATCGCTAGCCCGTCCCCTGGTACTTTTTTTTCGACAAGGACTGATGAATCACAGGTGATATGTATCCCCTATGATATGATAATAATATGCTAACGACTCCCCAACAGTTTTACACAACTACAAAAACCCAAAAAAATAGATAAATAAATAAAAATCCTGGCACTGGTCGACTCTGAATTTCACACCCGTCGACCGTATCGCTCTGGGTGTAAATACGATGAGATTTTTTTGTTTTAAAACCCGAAATTATGAAAACCGAGACCAGAATACATGATAAGAGAAGCCACGCCTGGGAGTCTAGTAATGTTTTACATGAACGTTTCGCACCAGGCTTTACCCCGGTGTCAGGGAGAATTTTGATTTAACGCTAGAAGATTGTTTCAACTGATAACGAGAGATTTAAGGTCGTTTTCAATATTCTCGTGTTAAACTGACCGACGTGTTGTATGCAGGATGAACTTCAGGATGAGCGGATGAGAAAAGAAATGGGCGTGTTTTCCATGGATGTGTGTGTGTGTGTGTGTGTGTGTGTGTGTGTGTGTGTGTGTGTGTGTGTGTGTGAGTATGTGAAAGTGAGTGCTTGTGTGTGCGTGCCTGCGAGTGTGTGCTTGTATGTGCGTGTGTGCTTGCGTGGTTGTGCTTACGTGAACGCCTGCATATGTGCGTGGGTGTGTTGCCTGTGAGCTAGCGTGAGTTTGTGCTGGTTTTGTCGGAGGTTTAACAATAAACAATACAAACACTTTGTAGCTTTGCTTTCTATAATTGTCAAAGAGATCCAGTTATTCCATTTGGTGTTATTGTTATGCTTGGCAGATCAGTTAAAGACATTCATCTCTTGATTTCAGTTAGCGGAGATATTGAGCATGCTAATGATCCATTTTTACATTATTTAGTTGAGTTTGAGTTTCTTTCGATTCAAGGAATTCTAAACAAAATTCTGTCTTCATGTTTGATTAATAATGATTATTAAAAAATAATCTAAAAAATAATAAAATAACACCACCACCAACAACAAAAAACAATAACAAAATA